CCAACTTGACCCACGGCACGGCACGGGCCCGTGCGGTCTCAGGCTGTGGGTCATGCCAAACCGACCCACCAAATTATCCTAGAGGAGGGAGGCATGGCTTGGGACGCCTTGTGGGCCAACACGACTCGCTCTTTGTGCGAGCTACATGCAAGTCGTGTCGTACCGACTCAGCACGACCCAATTTACACCTCTACTTGAACCCGCCCAATACTGGGGACGGGGCAGAGAAATTTGAGGATTCTCCATCCTTGATGAGGAGTGGGGTACCTTGCCCCTAAACTCACCCGACATTGAGGAGTGGTTACCTTGCCCTGAACCCACGTGACATTGGGGACGGGGCAGGGATGGGGTAGAGTGTTTTGACTTTGGGGCAAGGAAAGGGATGGGAGACCTGCACTGAACCCACCCCGTTGTCATTCCTATATAATTGTTAATTATTAGTGGAATTAATAAAAATGTTAGATTTTATAATTTTTTTATTTATTTAAAGTTAATCAAAATTTCATTTAAAATAATAAAAAGAATAAAAATTATTAAAATTACTACAAATTATAAATAAAATTAAATTTATTAAAAAATATTTATTCATATTCGATTAACAATAATTATTTTTTATAAATCAACATTAAATGAAAAATAAAATTATTAAATCTTTCAAATTTTTCCGTACATTGCACAAGTCCTTGCTAATATATATATATATATATATATATATATATAGATCTCGTTTGACCACTTTTGACTCTCTTAAAGAGCAGGGGTATAAATTAGATATAAGTTGGTTTAGATTATGGCCTAACCCAAGACCAACCCTATACATGGACCCTAGCTAGACCCAAGATGATGCAAAACCCAAATTTGACAACCTCTGACCTAACAAAATTCGCCTTCTTGCTAAACTTGCCAGCCCAAACATATAAAGTTTTCCATTCAACTTCCTTGCCAAGTATATCATTAATTATATAATCACTTTAAGTCTTGATCAATTTGGAATATCAAAAACTACTCATGACCCTATTATAATCAGGACACAAACTCAGAACCAGAATAGGCAAAATTGGCTCAGTTCGGTTCTATTAGGCAGACCTAACTAATTGACAACTCTATCGTGAATATAACAGGCTTTGAAGGTGACAACGGGTTCAATTGTTAAGGTCTTTGGCTGATTGTAGTGGAGCCATGGTTATTAGTTTTCAGAGTTACTGATGCTTTAGGTTATTTTAATTATTTCAAAAGTTAATATATAATATAATATATTCACTGGCAAATCATCAAACAAAAATATTAAAAGAAAAAGAGTTTCCATTCAAATAAAACTCTTGATTTGTAATTTTTGATATATTTAGAGAACCATGGTGGAGACTTGAATTTGTTTGAATGATTATTGATGTAAACTCTACGTTTGAATTTTACCTCAATTTTTGGTGGTCATTTAAGTTTCATCGAAATGACTACAATTTCTCAATCAAATTCATGGACCCATGGTTTGTCGGGCTCATTTAAAACATTTGGCCCATTTAAATTTTAACAATCTCTCAATCGAACACCCACCCAAGCCATAAGAGGATAAGAAAAAGACATTACCACACTCACTAGTGAGTAGTCATTACGACACTACCCAACATATATACGTTTCGCCCTCAAACTCAATGCCAGCAACAAAACATAGCACCAAATCGGTAGTCTTTCCATTTCAAAAGCTGGAGTCATCTCTCGCTGTCTCTCTCCCGCCAACATCTCAAATTCCTTTTCTCGAGAGAGTGAAAGCAATTCTCTTAAGTCTCCCTCTCGTCCATCGTAGGCTTAGAAGATCTAAACCCTTCATCTATTAACGACTTGAAGATCATAACCATTTTTTCTCTATCATCCCACCAATTAACGAAGCTGAAGAATCCACCGATTTAGGGCCATCAACGGGTCTGATCTCGGTCAGGACAGGGTAGAATCGAATCCCCCCGATAAGATATATCAAGGAACTGGAACCAAACAATACCTTCTAGTTCTAGGGTCCGTAATTTTAGATTTAAAACCGAATCTCCTATCCATTGGGTCTGACCCAATGGGCTCGATCCCAACCAGTTCGAATCTCCTATCTATAAAAATAGGGCTGCAAGTCGGGCCGGGTTGAGGTCAATCCTAAGTTTTAAACCCACAACCCGATCTTCAACCTGATCTTCCCAACCCTAACTAAATTCCTTCAACCCTAACCCAAACCAACCCAACCCAACCCAAAGTCAACTTCGGGTTGGGCCCAATCCAACCTTCTTCCCATCCCTTAAAATCTCGTAGAACTTTTTAATTTTAGAACTTAACTCAATTTTCATTACATATATTAATCGTATGTTTCATTAGCATTTGTTTGTTGATGCTTTTACACGGCCCATGGGTGGCCCGCACAAAGTTCTAGTCGTGTCATGCTGGCCCACAGGCTGTCATGGGCCGTGTCGCCCTCCTCGGTGAAAAATTTGGGGTTGGCTTGACACGTCCCACGGCCCGGGCCCGTGCAGGCTCGTGCTGTGCCGCCCTCCTCGGTGAAAATTTTGGGGGTTGGCCCGGCATGTCCCACAGCCCAGGCTTGTGCAGGCTCGTGCCGTGCCGCGGGTTAGGCTGGCCCGTGGGCCGAGCCTTGGGCCAGGTTGGGTTGTGCATCGGGCCAAAGCTATTTATTTAAAATAAATTGACAAAAAACTTAAAATTTTAATTTTATATGAATTTTGTGTATAAAATTGCTTTTATATACTATATATTATTATATAATTGTAATTTATATAATATTATATAACTAGATATAATATATATAAATATATATAAAATATATATATGGGCCGTGCCGCGGTCCAAGCTACAGGTCAATTTGGTTGGGTCGGTTTTCACAAAAAGTTAGTCGATTTTAGTTGACCAACTCCCTAACCTGACCTGGTCAATTTGGTTGGCCAAATAGCCTACGACTGAACTGAACCAATTCATAAACACTCATAATTTCAGCTAAATTAATAGTCACATCTCCGATAAATAACAATAGTTTAATCTCCAATAATTATTGAAAATTTATAGCGAAAATACACAATTATTGAAAATATATTGATAATGAAAAATACAATAAGTACTAAAAATATATTAACTTAGTCAATAAATAGTATAATCTTAAATAATAGTTTAATCTCTAATAAATATTAATCAATAACTTATAACAAAAATACAATAAATACAATAATTGTAATAAATTAAATTTAAAAATTTCAATAATGGTAATTTAATCTCCAATAATTATTGAAAGTTTTTTGTTAAATAAAAAGACAAAATAAAATTATACATAATCATTGAAAATACATTTATCACAAAAAACAATAATTAATTACTGAAATACAATAAATATTAATTTTAGTATACATAATTATATAATAAATACATATTAAGAGTTTAAAATTATTATTAATAAATATTAATTTTTTTTGAAAGTTATTTTATCGAATTATTAGTTATTTAAATACTTAAATAATATGTAAAATATTTAATTTTTAAAATATTAATTATTTATTGAATTTAACTATCCATAAAATCATAATTTATACTATTATTACATAATTTCATTACTAATTTTGTAATATATTAAATTATTATTAATTTCAATATTATATTATAATTATTTTTCTATTTTGAAGAAATGTTTAAAATTTATTACATAATTTCGTTATTTTAACTATTTAAAATCTAGTTATGATAAATATTTAGTTATTTAAATATTTAAATTTTTTTGTTATTTGAATTTTATTTATTTAAAACTATTACATATTATTAAATATTTGAAAAACATTTAAGTTGATAATCCAGAAAAACGTAATTTAAATTGTTAGTACATAATTTCGTGATATATTTGTAAAAATGTAAAATTATTTTTTGTGTTTTTAATAAATATTTTAAAGTTATTATATAATTTTGTTAGAATATTTAAATAATTCTTAAGATATAGATAAAAAGTAGGGGAGAGGATAAATAGGAATTAGAGATAATTTAGGAGAGATACTCTTTATTAAATTAGAGATAATTTTGGAGATAAATAGGAATTAGAAATAATTTAAAAGATAAATATGAATTAAATATAATTTTGGAGAAAGTGAAGGATAGTGGGAGAGGTAATTTAGGAGAAATTTTAGAAGAAGAGATTATTTAGGTTATTGGAAAAGTACGTTGTCTTGAAATTGACATTGACATGGAATAAAAAGATAAAAAATTCAAAAAAAAGAAAAAAATTTCTTTGGATTATAATAAACCTACTAAAAAATTATACATTTAATATATCCATATATGGTTCGATTGGGTTTTAAACTAATAGTAATTGGGATAATCAGAACCTGGCCAATCGGTTTTGGTCCATCGGGACCCATTTACGGCCCTCTAGGTCCGAATTGGCCCGTGGTGTACAATGTGCCCATCTGATCATCCTTAATTGATCCCACATGCTTTTTGACTGGGCCCCATAATTGAACAAGCCTGGCCAACACYTCACGTCAGATCACGTGATGGATATACGCGTCTATATCATACTGTCATCTCTACGACCGCGACTGTATTGTCATCGAAGCACATGACCAGGACTGGATACGTATTTCACTGTATCGGAAAAATGGCGGGTAAAAAAATGTGGGCCCCACGTAAGCAAATTTTACTGGTCCAATCGCTGTCCTCTCTTCCGAAACTTCAGCAGTGTGTAGCTCAAAACCGAGTCAACTCGGTCCTCGACAGCGATTATTTTTTGGAAGCAGAAGCAGAGAGAGAGAGAGGGGCCCGTAAATCGAAGTACGACCGCTCTTTTAGTCCTTTGTCTTCTTCCACTTACCTCCGTAGGATAAACCTAGAACCCTGCGCCATCTCCACAAATCCAGATTTCTTTTTTTCGAAGTCTTCTCCTTTTGCCACGTGGCAATTCGTAACGTGGTCCCACTCCCACCACGGGGATATATCTGCATATTAAATACGGACTCCATCGGGTTTGAGGTTTTCTCTCTCTCTCTCTTTTTTTCGTTTCTCCCTGGACTCGATGTTGTTGCAGAGGGGAATACTGAAGAGGAAAAACGGAGCTTCGACTTCTCGAGCGGGTCTCCGTCTCTCATGGCGTCGCTCACACCAGGCGTGTTGCTGAAGCTCTTGCAGCACGCGAGTAACAAAGAGGTGAAGGTCGTTGGCGAGCACCGCTCGGCGCTCTTGCAGGTAATCGAGATCGTGCCTTCCCTTGCTGGAGGAGACGATCCGTGGCAAAGTAGAGGATTCTTCTTGAAGGTTTCGGATTCGTTGCATTCGGCTTACGTTTCGATCTCGGACGAGGACGTCGATTTGATCTTCAGCGATAAGATCCAGCTCGGGCAGTTTGTTCACGTCGCTCGGCTTGACTCCGGATCGCCCGTTCCGGTGCTTCGTGGTGTTAAGCCTGTGCCGAAGAGGCGGCCCTGTGTGGGCAGTCCGAAGGATTTGGTTTCCAGTGATTTGTTGCCGCTTCGGACGAATGTTTGCTTTTCGGAGGTCATTAAGGGGTCGGGAAATGCGAAGAATGTGAAGAAAGACGGAATCAAGAGATCGGATTTGAAGTTGAAGGTGAAAAGGTTGGAGTTCGGAGATGCGAAGCCGAGACGTGCGTCCCTAGGGAATGCCAATGTGGAAGGGTTGGAGTTGAGGAGATTGAGTTTGGATACAATGCGGAAGAGCTGGGACCGCAGCCCCGGTTCGAAGAAGGCTGTGCGGTCTCCATCGACTTTGAAACCTAAGGAAACTTCGAGTCCTTCGGATTCTGCCTCTGTAAGTCCTTTTTTCATTGATTATTTCGCTGTTTTTTTTATTTTTATTTTTTCTTGCTTTTGTTGCATGCCGTTTGGGTTTATGATGAGATTTATGAGATAAGACATTTCTTTGTATATGATATTTGGATCATGTTCTGCTTTTTGGTTATCTGTTTTTCTCTGTTTTCTGCTTCGGATCTCTTCTTTCCTGGCATTCAAGAATCCTTTCCTTCCCCTTTTCCCTTCCTCTGTTTTCCATATATTTTTCCTTTGTTATTTTGTTTTGAGGATATGCCCTTAGAGTTTGAAACCAGCAAGAACCAGACCGAACGGTGGTTAAAAAAACGATATTACATTTCTATGTTTATAATCACGAGTCTCCTGATCTCCTATGTGCTGAAGTTCTCTATCAATGTATTATATTTATTTCTCTTGACGAAAAAGGAGAAGGGAATTGATTTTCTACATATTCCGTAGCTCTGCCATTTAGGCCATTTACATCCACTGGTGTCGGATACTGTCCCATGTCTTGGTTTCTGTTACCAAATCATCCCACATTTGCTTGAACGCTGCTTGAAAAAAAATTTCAATTCCTTCCATCCCAACGGTGATATTTAGGAATGCTACCTTCCAAAGCTAATTTGTCTTGAAGTGGCACAGTGATTAGCTTCGGGTATTCCTTTGTCTCTTTCATGCTGCACATCATTACTCACTAATTTCTCTTTATTCAGACGCTGACTCACTGGCCCTCATTAATGTTATGTTTTCAGTTTCCTTTGGCTGTTTCATTAATGTGAGCACATGTCGGTTGCAACCCAATGTTATTTACTACACCCTAGGAAGGAAGCAACTATGGGATTGGACAATCACTCTGGTGCCTTGATTTTTAGATCTGCATCTAATGTATGATTTCTTAATAATCCATCTCCCACTTGGGTTTAACTTTTCAAGAAATTACCAATGGTCAGGATTCTTAGATGTCAAAGGTACACTACAAAAGTTGTATCGGAAACTCCTAAATTTTAAACCCTAAACCCCTAAATTTTTAAACCCTATTATTAAACCTTAAATTTCAACAAAAAATGCATTTGGTCGGACACAATTCCTCCTACCAGGTAGGAACCAATAATTCTTCACTACAAAAGTTGTATCTGAAAGGTGGAAAGGGAAAGTATTATATAGCTTATGCTGAATAAAAAGATGGAGCTCAGTACCAAGCTTCAGTCGATTGATTATTACTGATAGAATCAAATGAACCTATTAGTACAGGTGTGGACTATTATTCTTAATCAAAAGATGCGGTAACATCATGCGTCAGTGAGTTTCTCTGACTTTGGTGGTTAATCACATTAGGGGTCATAAAGCGTGAAATACAGGCATATTTGCATAGTTTGTTTATGGGAGAATTCCTGATCAGTACTCTGTACTTTGGCTCGAGTGACAATTTGGTCCCCAAATTTTAAAATGCGACAATCTAGTACCCGAACTTTCAGAACGTGACAATCCAGTATCTTTCGTTAACCAGTCCGTTAATCAGCCGTTAAGTGACATTTGAAAAGTCAAAAATGCCCTTCAAATGCCATCTAATTCTTTTTATCAACCATCCAAACGTTGACAAAAAACTGAACAGTCCCAAATCCTAGCCTCTTCTATTCAAAAAAGTTGGTGACTGTTTAGAAGAATCTAGAATTTGGGGACTGTTCATTTTATTGTCAATGTTTGGATGGTTGATAAAGAGAATTAGATAGCATTTGAAGGGCATTTTTGACTTTTCAAATGTCACTTAACAGCTGATTAACGGATTGGTTAACGACAGGTACTGGATTGTCACATTTTGAAAGTTCGGGTACTAGATTGCCGCATTTTAAAGTTCAAGGACCAAATTGTCACTCGAGCCAAAGTACAGGGTACTGATCAGGAATTTTCCCTTTGTTTACCAGTAATAGTATTTTTCTATGCTAGTCTGCATTACAAAAGGAATGTACATAGAAATAATAGTCAGTTACGGAAAAGTAAAAAACGCAAGCACTATTTTAGAACAATAGACATGGTTAATTAAGTTGTCTAAGGTGTTTGCATGATTCTAAGACAGGGATGCGAAGTGCTCTTGGTTCCCTGTTACATAATTCTAATTTGAAATCATACACAAAAACCCAGAACAATAACTAAATTACAGCCCCAGGGGGTTGGGGATATAAAGGTACGACATAATAATACTAGCAGTCTGTCTATTTATGTCTAAAGATAGATATATATCTTATGACCTAAGATATCTTTTATTGTTGATCACTTTCAGGTGCTTGTCATGGTCTTGATGTTTCACATTGATTTACAGGTTCTTTCAGATAAGAAGGATTCTTCCAAGAGGGATTCATTACTGAAGGTTCAAAATTTGAACAAATCACCTTTGAAAAGTAAAGGCAAGGGTTTTTCATTGAAACTAGGAAGCATGCCTTTAAAAAAAGAAATCAAGTCCAAGGATGGAACTGTTCCATGCCATCTTGTTAAAGTGCCTATCGCCTCTAAAAGTTGTTCTGATAAAAACATTTCATGGGAGATGCTTCCATCTAGAATTCATGCTCTTGGAAAGGTATACAAATGAATATCCATATGTGAATTTTTAGTGCACCTAATGCCAATTTTTACTTGCTAGATTTTAATGTAATTGATGATATCATATAGGATGTTGTGCTGCATAGAAATGCTTCTTTTCTTGCTGCTGTGGATGCTTTACAAGAAGCATCAGCTGCAGAAAGTGTCATTCGATGCATGAGGTAGTTTACTTGCCTTTATCTGTTTCCACTTTTTGTTGTTGGCTTAATTGTTTTCATTCTTTTTGGTAATGTTAATWATTTTTTTGGTATTGTAGTTGTGTTTTTGTTGAAATGTCATTTCCTTGAAGAACTACTTTTTTATAGCATTCCTTAAAAAACTACTTCTGCTTAGGATGTATCATTTCCTTTTAATACTGGATATTTTCTCAGTCATTGCAAATAAGCCACCAAACTTGTGCATGCTTATGAAATGCTTGTTCAGGGTTCACTTTATGAAGTTATATTATGTTGGTTGTCTTCTTTTTCTGGAGTGGCCTCTGCATGGGGATAATCATTCTTTGGATGCAACTATGCATGTATTCCAGGCATTCTGTCTTGTCTCTTCTCAAAACCTTCTTATAGGAGATGACACTGGGGTAGCTAATCATCAAACACTAACATAAGGTAACGTGGGTAAGATATGAAATTATTATTGAGTACACCATATCTCCCAATAGATGATATCTCAGATCCCCTGAAAGTTTTTTTTTTTTTTTTTGATGAGAAATGGTAACTTTCATTAATTCTTTAAAAAAACTTAGTACAAACTGTCACCTTCAAAAACAAGGTGACCCCCTCGTCAAAATTACAAACAGGCCCAAAAAAGGTTCTGCCTACTAACTCCTTGCTTTGCTAAAGTCTCAGCCATTGCATTGGCTGATCTAGTCCATTTAAACCAGACTTCAAGCTCCCTTGTTAGTTGCATAATCTCCCTTACAGGTTGTCTAAGGGACCAGGCGTGTTTGTAAAGACAGCTAAAGGGCAATAGAAGTATGTCTAAAGAACTAAACTTGTCTCTTATAAAACAGTATGAGATTAGTGGAAGGTTATAGTAGCAAAGTGATGATAACACAACCTTGCATGTTAAAAGTTTACGGTATCTTCTATTTAGGAAACTTGCCGTGATTGCTTTTCATATTCTGTTAAAGGATTATTTTTCATATCTATCATTCCCTACTTCTGCTAGCCTAACGAACTTGCAAATTAATCTGCTGTGCTGCTTTTCCAAAAGTTAATGCCAATGCTTTGACATGCACCAATTCAATTAATCATTTATGCTGATTGACCTATCCTGCGTCCTCTAGCATGTTTGTAGAACTGTGGGAAACTGGTCAGCAAGATTCTCCAGGGCTATTAGTGGGGCAATTTCTAGGCCTCCACGACAGCATGCGACAAGTAGCATCCACGGTTGATGCACTGCTAGAGACAAGATCTCCTGAAACAAAGACTAGCACCCCGGGCACAGAGCAGATTCCAACACCTGAAATATGCAGAAGTTCTACAAATAAAAATGAAGATGCAACATTGTGGGTCCGTGCTGCTCTAGAGACTGATCTTTCCAAATTTTCACTCTTCACAAAGCAAGATAAGAGGGGAACTATAAATGGCGAGCAGTATCACTATGTTGTCTTGGAAAAGACTCCAGAACCAACAGAAGTGAAGTTGAAGAGATGTTCACCTCAGAACAAACGAAGCCCAAAACTACCAGATTTAGCAAGTAAATCATTACCATGTCATTCAAGCCGGCCTAGAGTTTCAGCAACAAAGAAGGCCAATGTTGAGAGAAGGGAGTGGTCAAAGGGAATTGGTCTGATGGAGGTGGCTTCTCTAGTAAAACGACTCATCTCATTTTCACGTGGATCGTTCTTGAAGTACTTGGAGGATTCACTGGACAAGGGGTTTGGGTTGAAGCGGGGAGAAGGTGACGATGAGATTGCTATTCTCCTTGGGCAGCTTAAAAGGGTGAATCAGTGGTTGGAAGATTCAGTTGGGGATGGGTTAGATATTAATGAGAGAATAGAGGGCTTGAAGAAGAAGCTATATGCTTTCCTACTTGAGCATGTTGATTTGGGTGTTGTTCCCTCCAAACAGGGACCAAGCTGACAGAAGAATGCTTGGAATTCTTTAGGAATTTGTTGAAGTACAGAGTGACGTGAGTATACAGTTGACAGGGTTTTGCCTGCAAATACGAGTCTTTTGCCTTGAAGAAAGTCTTTCTTGGACTGAAACTGACACAATGTAGAAGCTGCTCCATAATTTAAAATACCTAACCGCTTTAGTCTTACTGTTCAGTTTTTTTTTTTCCTAGCGCTTTGTACTTAGTTGAGGCTTCTCCAATCTGAAATGTCTAACACTTTGTTTTGCCTATAATTCCAGTCACTAACAGGAAGAAACGGTCTAGTCGATTGTATCGATTCTTGCTTGTTGAGGTGTATAGTTGAGAATCTGAAACCTTCATATTCGATACTAACGTCCTCTAAAAGTTTAGATACTTTTGATGAAATTGAGCTACTGGGGATCGTTTTTTTATATGAGGTCAGGCTGTATACAATTTGCAAGGATTGGACATGGTTGTCCGCTAATTGTCAACAAAGCATGTCCGTCGTCTATTATTGAGATGGACACAGTTGGCGAGTGAATAAGAGAATGATTGAGATGGGCACATCTCTCTGAGTTTAATCTGAGACAAAATTAAGAGGGAGAGAGGGAGTAAATAAGAGGAGGGGCCGTCATCAAAAAACAACAAAACGCCCACCGTGGGGCTCGAACCCACGACCACAAGGTTAAGAGCCTTGCGCTCTACCGACTGAGCTAGACGGGCTTGAATACATGTTGTGTGGACTATTTGTAATTGAATGAGAACAGTCGACACAGATTGATAAAAACGTATGCAGAACCTTGTAGACAAGAATGATTGAGTGATTGAGTAGGAGAATAATTGAGATGGATTGATAATAATATAATATCATACCCTTGTAGAATTGAGTGTTTGGATGATTGAGTAGGAAAATCATTGAGATGGGTTGGTCATGTGCAAAACCCTTTGTAGAGTGGATTACTGGTGTAAGTTCGACCTCAACTTTTTGTTGCTCTTAATTTTTTTATTAAACCAGTAAGCTAAACATGGACCAAGGCTCGTGAAGTCTCTAGAATCTCTACTTTGGTTTAAATAAAATGCACTACAAGAATAAAGTGGAGCAAAATAAAAGCAAGGGCCATCATGCACCATCGAAAATCGAAATAATAAAAAACGCTCACCGTGGGGCTCGAACCCACGACCACAAGGTTAAGAGCCTTGCGCTCTACCGACTGAGCTAGACGGGCTTGAACACAAATGATTTATTGATAACAATTGAGATGGTTTACAAGATGTTTGGTATGGTTTTCATTTATTTGATAAACAGTGTTATGTCATCGTTATGTAGGTATTTATCCCATTATGCTATTTTATACGTCTATTTATCTTATAAATATTTTTCTTAGTTTACGTGTAAATCAATCATTGGAGGAAGTTTTATTTTAATATTTTTTTCCAATAAAAAAGTATTTATTTATTATTCTGCTTATGTGGCATTTTACTGTCAACAAATACTAGAAAAACATTTATCAACCAATTTTTCTTGGTTTTGAAGACAAATCAAGTACAAACATTTATTTAATAAATAGAAGCCATGCCAAATATATACTTAGTCATACATAGACCCCATAGAATTTTGCATGCAAGTTYGGCCTTAACTTTTCTCCTTTTTTTGGTTTGAAAGATGAGGTAATTGTAGTGGAATTGACATTGTGGGGCGCCACTCAATGCCTCACAGCGCATCCTCACCTTGTATTGGGAACATCTCCCAGTGATGTCTCATCATCTCTTGTACTTATTATCGATAATATTCCCAATACAAGATGGAGATGTGTTGTGAGGCATTATGGGGCGCCCCCTTGTGGGTGCAGATGTGAATTCATTGTAGTGGTTTTTATTTAAAGATTTTGACAGTCCACAAATCGTTTGGTTGGAGACACGCCTTTTTGCACAGAGGCGAGATGAAAAAAAGGCAAGAAGCTTCAATTCTAACTTTCTGAAATAAGTTCAAGCTTCTCGCATCTTTTCGGGGTGGAGCCTTTTTCCAAACCAAACAAAAAAAATGAAAACATGGGTACCAGGCTTCTAAACAGTTGACAACCATGCGAAAAGACATGCCAAACACGATTTAAATTATCTAATTCAAATACCTACAAAATTCATAACATCCGGTATCCCCTGAGGATAATTTGCAAAAAAAAAATAAATAAATAAATCCTGAGGATAGGTTTTTGCAGTCTGAGCTACTTTATTGACAGGTACGTTGAACTTTTTATTTACAAAACAAAATGAAGCAGAAGAAAAGTGAAGAAGTTGTTTGGACCCGAGAAAAAGCCAGTGGCAAGACCATGGCAGTGAAGCTTGAGATTACAACGCTCGGACAACTTCTGAGAATCCAAACAGATCAAAATATTACTTGATGCCCATTGAGTATCTTGTTGAACCCCTTGCAAAATAGAAAATAATTTAGCTTCCTCAACAAAATTCAAATTCTCAATCCTCCCTTCAAAATGCCTAGATAAATCAATAACACCATAAGAAAAAGATCGAGTACTGAAATTGCCCGCATCAGTAAAGATAATTAAATCTATATGGTTAATCACTCTTAAGTTAAATTTCTATAAACAATCATGAGATGGACTAAGATCTGTTGGAGTATGTATTTACGATTTATACGCGTCAAATCCACTGCAGCAAGACTTGACAATCCTTAAAGCATTTTCATTCCTAACAAACCAGATGTAATAGAGGGCAATTGCTTACCAACTTAAAACCTCAGAGATTGTTTTTATCAAGCAGGGAAGTAATTAAATCATGTTGACAAATCACCCACGAATTGTGAAATAAATTTTGCAAATTTATATTCCAAGGATCAGCAAATAAAATGGCTTGGGCGAAATTACACTCAAGATGATTCGCAGATTATGTGTATTGATTACATAACCCACATTGACAATCCTGAGGGGAAGCAAATATCAATTCTTTAACAGGTATAAAATTATTAACCACTCTTCACAGAAACATTTGATATTTCTAGGGTATAGGAAGCCTCCATATCCATTTAATACATTTTTTAATCGTTAAAAATAATATTAAGGTAAGGTTGTTGAAGATGGGCATAAGTTGTTTGGTTGAAAATTTACGTAAGGAATGGTGAGTCCAAATCCAATTTAGAGCATTTTCTTCTGGAAAAATTGGAGTATTTAGAATGTCTCCTATTTCTTCTTGGTTCATATGCAAATTAAGAAATGTCCGGTTTCAGAAATCAACAGATATTAACGCTGAAATAGGAAGATTCTTAAAAACAAAGGACACCGGTTGAGATGACATTCTAAAACGATTAATTGATTTGATCCAAGGGACTAGATCCAAAGGCGCTAAAGAGTTCCTAATAACCAAATATCCAACTTCATTACACATTACCCGAAGTTTAGGAGCTGTTGTTTTTCATAAGAGTGAGCTTGTAGCACTCATAGAGTAGAGAAAAACACTTTTGTCTTTTAGGTATTTTGATTTTCACACCTGAGCCCATAGTTTATGTTGCTCAATTATAAACCTCCATGCTAGCTTTTTTAAAAGGACCAAACTAATCTCATATCCTTGAGACCCAAACCCCATTGTACTTTGGTTGATTGTGTCAAGCACACTATCAAAAAGGATTGAGAGGGTGTTTGGTTTCGTATATTTATTCAATAAATGTTTTGTACTTTTATGACTGTAAAACTGAGAAAAGTAATTAATGAGGGCGTTTATGATACATAGACGCCATTAGGCACCACATCAGAAAAATGCCAATAAATGCCTCTGTGAGTTTTCTGAAAGGGAAGAGACACACATTTGCAAACTTTGATACACAAATACATTTAATGAGGCATTTGCAGACAGGGTGCCTATGTGACACCGCCAATAAACATAAACAGAACCAAACATATACTGAGTCTAGAATCTAATTTAGCCCACTAGAAATTTCTTATTGATTTTTCAATATCTTGAATGGTTTTCTAAGAAAATTGAATAATACTCATAGAATAAAGAGGCATTGATTGAAGAACAGATTGAATGAGAGCACATTTATCAGCCTGACTAATTGTAGAAGCTTTCCACTTGTTTAACTTAGTGGAAATAAAAAACTTAAGTAACCATTTCTCATCTCTATAAAAATAAAACTTAATTTAATCGCTTATATTAAATAATAAAAAAAATTGATACTAAACAAAAATGATAAACATGAATAAAAAAAAATAAAGGAAGCGGTAAAGGGAGGCCGGGAAGGGCCCCATATTCATGAACAAAATACAAAGACGCCCACCGTGGGGCTCGAACCCACGACCACAAGGTTAAGAGCCTTGCGCTCTACCGACTGAGCTAGACGGGCACTTAGTTAGTTATTACGAGTGCCCCTAATAACGAATGAGTTCAGTATATAAGAAGAAGAAGAAGATTTAAAACTTATATTTACATATTGCATTTCACCTTTCCGGCTTTCCCTACATGGAAAAGAAGCCAGAAGATTTAAAGGCAAAAAAACGAAAAAATAAAATAAATAAATAAAACTTTGTTTAAAGAATTCCTGTCACAATGAACACTACGACTATAGAGTCAATTCCTCTCTGCCTCAATATCTCTATCTATGCATCTGTAACTAGCAGACTAGCTCTAGTGCGTCATGAGAAAATAACTCGGTTCTTCTTTGAATGGAGGGTCGGTTGCTGATCCTTGTTGCGATGACGACGTCTTCTTCTCAGCAGCAGAATTTGCGCTCTTGCTTTGTTTCTTCATACCTTTGCAAGACTTCATATGCGTATGCATTTTCTCCGGTTTAAATGCCTTTCCACATTGCCTGTAACCACCAGTAGGTTCATGCAAAACATCGTATAAATGCACTTGCGCAATCGTTCACGTTTTAGTCACAGTGTTTGTCTGCTCATCTTAATTTTGTTTTCCATTATCTACCACTGTTTTATGTTGGAGTCCAGCCATCTAGGCCTAGTTTCATTTGCAGAGATTCTTTCTTTTCAGTCATTTAATTGATTGGATGGTCGATATAATCAACGGAGAAGTACAGACAGACCTAATGCAGAATTCTAAATTCTGCTACAAATCTATAATCAATGCATGTGAACGTAGGTTTTGGGCTATTCCTACAGTTTTGTCGGGCCATCCCATTTTTATTTTTACACAAATAGGAGCACGTGAATTGTTAGACCCAAATAAAAATCACTGATCTACCACACACACACATGCAAATACTTTCACATAGGCACCACTTCAACATTTCTCCCATTATGTGAATTTGTACGCATAAGGACTTGCAAAAAAAGACTTTAGGTATTTATTTAGTGTTTTGCTAATGTGGCATCTAATGGCTCCTAAGTGTCAATAAATGAGTTTATCATTCCTTTTCTCAGTTTTCCATACAAATCAAATACAAAACGTTTAGTCAATAAATATCCACAGTTCCGAGACATGCTAAATAAGTAACAGAATGTATTAGCATCAGAGTTGATCAATTCTTAGGGCTTGGTACATTAATTAAATAGTCCTGATCAACCAGTATCTTTGCAATTACATAAATACATAATTAACCCGTTAATATTTAGATTTTGGCATATCAATGGATAATTAGCTTAATGTACTCCTAATATTATAGTGCATGACTTCGAACAAATCAACAAAAAAAAAAAACAGTTCCAAATCCGTGATCCTAAAGATGGAGAATATAGGTGTTTAATTGTAGAATTAGATGAAATGTTGTCAAGTTGGTTAAAGTCATTTTTGACATTCAAAAAATGTTTCTAGGTATGGTCAGATCGGCAACTTTTGTTATGGGACCAGGCGATAGCAGAAAAGAGAGATACATGATTCATAAAACACTTAGATTTTTACCACCTCAAAGTTGGGGAAAGCTCTGTACTTGGTCAGTAAAGTGAAGGGATTAACAAAAAAAGAGGGATATGATTCATGAAATCTTCGAGAATTTATTGGAGAATGTTTTATACTTTGTCAGTAGAGTGAAGGGAGGTTTAGATAATTTCCGCTCTATTCATTTTCCCGATTATCTGACTACTCCCTTTGCAGCTTTGCCAACCTAAAGGCCTAAAAAGAAAGTTAACTTAGAACCAGATAGGGTTGTGCCAATTCAGAACCAGATGAAGAAATCAGGTGGAATATGGATTTTCAATGTGGGACCCTCCAACTAACCCTTGTCCATCTATGTATTTCACTATTACTATTATTGTAATTTGCTTCAAATCCTGGTCGTAACAATTTCCTACTATTAATTGAGAAAAACGAAAGCGAAGTGTGGGAGCTAGAGATTTGAGGGATCAGTATTGTTTTTCATGTTACTTTCAATCTGTTACTGCAGATATCCATTAAAAAAATCTATTACTGCAGACTGTTCACTATTAAAACTTACGAGCAATTGGGCTCGGCGACTGTCTTGTAAGCAGCGGAAACCGTTTTCTGATTTATAGAATCACTCGTCGCCCTCTTTGCATTCTTCTCTCCTTTCCAACATTTCCTGAAAATCCAATAAAAACTTTACTCAAGGAAAAACACGAATCAAATCAAACAGTAATTTTTGAATCGATCTAATAGCTTTACTTGGTCTTATGTTGTTGGTGGTTCCATGCAAAGCCGAAGATTCTATCGGATCCACCCAACTTCTCGACCTTACAAATCTCTTCTGCTTCACCGGAAGGATTCCTTGAAGCTCCATAAACCCGCTTCACCAACGCCGAGTCGTTCGTCTCGACAGCACCGCACGTTATTAGGTTGCGGAACACGTGAGAAGCTCCGCTCGAATGGCTCTTACTCCTCAAAAACGAAGATCTCGTCGACGGTGCTGCTGCTGAACCAGCATCTTTATTCTTCTCTGCGTCTGCGTCCTTCTTTCTGTTCTTCCTCAACAATCCCGATGACAACATTTTCCCGGGGTTTTCCTTTGATTCCTGCTTTCCATCCGGCATGAAACCTGGATTCGATTCGATTGAATCGACCGTCGTCGCCGATGTTTCCGAGTCTGAGGTTCCTGATTCGTTCTCCTCAATTTCGACAGCAGCGGTTGCGGCTTTGATCTTTGCATCTTCTTTCTCTTTCACTGGTTTCTGCATTGAAGATTTCTTTTCACGGCATGATGAGCAAGTACCTGTTACTGCTCCTTTTTTTTTGAAGAAAAATAAACCGAGAGACACAATTAAGTAGTGTAATTGTGATTCAGTAACAAATTAGTGTCATCTAAATTGAGATCGAAGGAATACCAGAGGGAATAATGGGGATTTCGGATCCTTTGAGGACGTATTCATCATCTGCAATGGGCGTGATAAGGTCGTCGTCCACCAAATCTTGCCATACATAACCTGTCTTGTATTTCCTGTCAATAGATTTGCGATAACAGTAAGCGCCATTACAACTGTCTGCACCGGAGAAGAAATCATTCAGAGAAATGAACAGGCGTTACGTACTCTCTTATTACCTCTTATAAGACCAAGCGAAGGAATCCGGCATGTCTTTTCCTCTCAAATCCGACAGCCATCTCTTAACATCTTCAAGTTAATAAAAAAAGCAAAAATAAAAAGCAGAAAAAAAAGTCTGTCAGAATCTATTCGTGAACAGTTCGGACTTCAGAGAGAGAGAGAGAGAGAGAGAGAGAGAGAGGATGGGCCGATGGGTGGTCTTTGGCGTCTACCTCGCAAATGAACGCCGTTTCGACTCAGGTGATGGACACGGAAGAGGTGAGGATGCTCGACTCGACCCATCCGATTCAGAAAGTAGATGATATGCACTCGCCTCATCTCTCCTGCCGCTCCTCCTTTGGCTTCCATTTTCCTGCAAGATCATCACGAGAGGCGACCGACACACATCTTCTTTTCAGGCAAAACATACCACGCTTGCTTTGAAAATCTTTTCTTAGAACAAAGAGAACTCGTTAGAGAGAGAAAGATTGATCGGATATCCGCCGGCCTGATCCAGAAAAAAAGCCGACAAGAAAACAAACATTCTTCTTCACGATGCAACCATTGGATCATACAATCATCATTCTTGCATTAAAAAACGCATTTCTCAATCCATGCGATAGCAACAAATTGAAAGATCAAATAAGAAAATATAAAAATTCCTCGCAGAAACAAAAAGAATCATTGAGATTCGAGATTACAGATTTGTCTCCTACCTCTTTTCTTTCTTTTCTTGTATCGTAAATTTTGCTTTTTTCCTTTCTCCTGACGATGGTGGAGAGAACAGAGAACAAGAAGCGCCGATTAACTGAGTCTTCACTGTTTCTTCTGCAGAAGAGATCAGAGAATTAAAGGAGGTCGCCGACCAGTCTCCGAGCTATTTATAGACAAACCAACAGTCCGGCGGTTTCTCTCCTTCGAATTCTTCTTCAGCTTTTTATTCATTTCCCGCGATATTTTGAACGCCTTTTATCCTCCAAATGACAAGTATGCCCCTCCGTCAATCCACCGTCACTCCATATCAAATTCTAGCGTGTTCTTACTGTTCTTAACTATGAAGGTGACGTAAATACTATAAGCTTAATCTTATAAAATATCACCAATTTGGTAATTTTCAAGCGTCTTTTTTGTAATTTTACACTATGGAGTACGAGACATCACACAACGGCGTTTCGTTTCGGTCACCTAATTTTCCCTATTTTTCATAAAAAGTGCCATTTACTTTGACACCCTTACACTTTGATGTATTTATTAAAACTTACCTTATATTACATATTATTAAAACACCCCAATAATTTGTAGCCCTTCAAGTTCAACTGCTTTATTTATCACTATTTTCATTAGTACTAGAGTAGGAAATGATGTTTTTGACCCTAACATCCGTTTGACCAAAACAATGAATATTGATACTGAAAAAAACTTATAACCAATCACTCAACCAGTATCATAAAAGTGGTAACCAGGTTTTCAAACTCTTTGAGTTGGATGGTTGAATCCTTCGGCCCATCAATGAACTGGAATCATTTCATCCCCGTGGCCCGAACTACTATTTGCTCAAAACTGTTGAAATGGTCATTGATCTATTAATTTATGTGGTTGAATTGTTGATTTGATCGACCCAAACAATAATTTTGGACCAAATTTTATTTTAATTATATTTTTTATTTTTTTAAATTTTACAGCCCGATTTATTTGGTCTAAATATCAAACCTTTGACTCGAGAAATGGGTGGTTAAAGCGGGTTCGGATGAGGTAGGCATGAAGTTGTAAGCACGATCTATGAGCACTTGAAAATTTTTTTGACACTTGTTCCTTAAAATACCTTCACCCCACCCTTGAAAAAGATTAATACTCATTTTTGACAGTTGTGAAAATATTTATCAAGTGCTCATTTAATGTGCTTACTTTAATGTGCCTACTAGATCCAGTCTCGGCCAAAGCAGTTCCGGTTCTGTACCAATTTTTAAAATATTGGTTTTAATTTGTAAGAGCTCTTTCGGTGTCCTATTTTTCCAATTCACATATTTAACCACATAAAAAAGACAAAATTTTGATTTTTCCCAAAAGGTTTTGTTCTTAGAAGGTTGATTTCAGAGGCTTACACATATCCACTTATTTTAAGAGGTCACTGAYCAATCATATGCGTGGAAAATGAATCAAGCTATTCGAGCTCAACCCATGAAAAGCTTGATTTGGCTCAACTTAAACCTGGCTTTAAGCTGAACTTGAACCCAATATATAGGCTCGTTTTCAAATCGAGTTTAGCTCAAACGCAATAAAATTTGGCTTGTAAGGCCCATGAGCCAAATCGAGCTTATATATATATATATTTTTTTATTTTATGAGAAGTTTGACTCATAGTCGAATTCGAGCTTATGAACTTTTAAGTCGAGCCAAACTTGAGCTCGAATTGAGCTCAAAGCATCATGGTTTTCTGACAAACCAAGGTCAAATAACCAAATATTCGGCTCAAGTAGACTCAAATCCACCCTAAGCAGTCCTTGAATGAAAATAAAAATGTTTTCTAACCGAAACTATAAATTATAGTGTTTTAGTAATAACTTGAAAGTATAGGGTAGGATTTTGTAATGAACTATCTCAATAAATATTATTTTATAAATAAATAATCCTTTATAATATTATTTATAAATGATTTATTCTAAAATCGTGGCCGTTGATTTGTGATCTTTCTTTCTTTAACTGCTTCCATTTAGTTGGGCAGTAAATCGCGATAAAATGACAGATGAAGTTATTCCGCGAGAAAATGAACAGTAGGGCTATATATAACGAAGGGCGCAATATTCGTTAATTGTCACGCAATGATGGTAACAAAATCCGCGAATCGAGAGAGAGAGATAGAATGACCTATTCATGGACCCATATTGTGCATTTTCATGGGCCCACGGTGGCTAAACAAGATAAGATTGGTTGAATATATTTTCGTGTGTTGTGTGTAGAATTCTTTTACTTTTTCACAATGTTAATCAACCGGTGGTGTCTTGATCTTTTTCTTTGAGACTGCAATCCACCTCAGAAATCTGGCCCCCTCCTAGTCTATTAATAGTCCCTTCCATAAATTGCATTCTGCCCTGAATTTGGCATCAATCTACGAGCATGATTCAATTCATCTCTATAAATCTTGTGGATGAACTATAAAAACCCATTTTTTTTATGGATGTTGACTCTTCTCTTTTCTTTGCTCCTTTAATTTAGGATGCAAGCGTCCTTCAAATCATGGTTTTCTAAATCATCGTTGATCCAGATGGTTGGACTGTTTGGCTTCAGAACTATCCAGGCAACAAGTTCCGTTTTTCCCCAAACCTGGTCCCTGGCCAAAAACCATTGAATCGGTCAATGACTCATTGACTCGGGTGATCGAACCATCGACCCGTTCAGCGGTTTATGGCTGTTTTTTTTATTTTTTTTAGTTTTTGTTGTCTGAACGAACCATCTATTCAAATCAGACAGTTGAACCATCAACCCAAAAACCAATGACCAGAACAATTCTATTTCTGAATCATTTTTTAAAACCATGCTTCAAAGCATTCCTTGTGTATGTCTAACAATGTGAAATAATTTATCAATATAGTTAATGATTATGATTTACTTCTATCTATACCGTCGTTGTGTTTTAAGAATAAGTGGTTTGAGAAATAAGTATTTATTAGTATTTCGTGGTCCTTTCTCAAACTATTTACATTTATTTCAAGTATTTGTTTGAGTTACAGTATTTAATAAATCATTTAATCAATAATTACTTATATTTGTGGAAATGACAATTATAATCATGTGGATTGTTTGAAACACAACAAAGAAATGGAGAAAAAGAGGAGATTAATGTACTTKGAACAACTTCTTACCCCAGAGTACATCACTTGTTGCACTTGCTTATTCGTGTTGGAACTCAAATGGAGAAGACACTCAACAAGATTTTGAAAAAATGATGGGGACAAATTTATCCCAAAAAAATGGAATAAGTGCTTAAAATAAGCAGCTGTTAGATTGTTTTCTTGTAAGTACTTATTTGCTCATTTTTTGCCAAACACGAATAAATGTTTATATATTCCATCACTTATTTTAAGTATTTATTTAAATAAATACTTAAAATATATGATACCAAACAAGGGCTATATTGCGGATGCTTGCTTTAAGCTCCATGCAAATCACAAAAGCTAAAATCTGTTTTTGATAAAAAAAAGTTAAATCAAAATACAATATATCATATATGGTTAATACCTATACTTGCAAACTTGCTTGGGTGCTCTTACATATATAAACTTTAGTGCTTCACAACAAAATTGTGGCTTTAGATTGTATAAGGAAAATTTGCTAATCTATGTGCGACTAACTTTGGAAGGAGAATACGGAGAAGTGCACAAAAAGATAAAGCCAGACTTCTAGATTCTAACATGTGTATGTTTTAGAATTGAAAGTTAATAATTAAAAGAAAAGCATTAATGCTCTATATATTAAATAAGAAAACAAGATAGATGGAAATCAATGTCCTTGAGCTTATAAACTATTCGGATCAAGGTCGAGCTGGTTTCAGATGCTACGTGGCTGCCAAATCACCTCGGCCATGTTAGTGGTACGTTGCCTCCACGGCCACATCAGCACCGCACTACCACCTTGGCCTCACCTTATCCCTCAGTCACGGAGACTTCATGTCATGCGGATAAGCATAACCAAGACAAGAGAGCGGATGGGGACAATCCCGCTAGAGATTATGTCTCATCCCAAAGACCTCGGCGGTTAACATCATCCCGAAAACCTCAGAAGCTTAATCTGATCAGGACACGGACCTTCGGTTATAAAAAGATATCTTCCGCTCAAGGTAAGGGATTCCAATTTCTAGCACTCATACCATTATACTGCTCAGACAAGTACTATTCTCTAACTGCTCGGCCCGATTCCTTACTACTTTCCACTGACTTGAGCGTCGGAGTGTCTACCCGGGGATAATTCCTCGGGCCTCTGATATCTTTCTTGATCGTAGATCTTGAAGCATGGTTCTGTCCTTCTACCCCAGTTCTGCCCAGTTGACAAGGACTATCTAAGTGTAACCTCAGTTCATGCACCATCTCAAATCGAGTAGCATCATWGACAAATAGTCATACATAACTGGTGACCCGCGACCTAGAGGCAAAAATGGTTCAGCCTCCGGCTCGGTTTTTAAAACATTGCTCCTAATCAACCTCCAATTTCGAAGCTGATACCCAAAAGACAAAATTTTCACCAAGATCCCAGCTTTTCTTTTGATATATTTTCCATGGTTTTGAAAATCGGACTGGAAACAAAACCATTTTGACCACTAATTTCTGGGTCAAATGGTCTTACCATCTGGTCCGAACTCGGGTTGGACGGTTTTGGGGTCCAAAACCCAAAACCAGGCCAGGACCTATGGCCAGTTCCTGGGCCAACCGGTCCCAACGTTCAGCTTGGTCTAATTTTCAAAACCATGACATTTTCTACCTTTTGATCTCAATCTCAAGCTTGCTACATTGGCAGTGCTTTAGGCTATGTTTGATTTGAAGGAAAAGATAGAAAAGGATGGGAAAGACAAGAAAACATATATAATGTTTGTAAAGATTTCTTTACCTTTTTTTTCAAACCAAAAACAGCCGTAAGATATCAATTATTGCTCAATCCCCATAAAAACTTTAGGGAATGAACTCGGTTGAGAGTAGATTTTCGAACTCCTCTTAT